CTCCCCTTGCTTGTGTTCGCTCTTTCACTGTGTCTCTCTCTGTCAAATAAATAAATAAAATCTTTAAAAAAAAAAATGTTCGCAATAGAAAGTACACATGGTAATTTCATTTCCCCATATTCAGAATAGCAATGGAAGGAAAAGGGACTGGGGCATCTCTAGAATTCTCAGCAGTTCTCAAGATTCTGTTACCGTAATTGTAGCAAAACCCACTAACAGGTATAGTTTATCAGAAAATTCCTCAAAGAGAGCCCTCAGCCTCCTTATCTTGGTTACCTTCTTCTAACCTTCCTCTTCAACCTGACAAAGGACAGATAAACACCTACTTACAATTTCAGTTTGTCTACAGACACGGCATGTGCATGCCTGAGAAGAAGCCTATCCTGAAATGAAAGTCAGCTATCTGATGTATAAACTGATGTCTTAGTCTCTAAAGCCTGACTCACTCCTGCTAAAAATTATTTGGTTCCATAAGCCTTATGGATTCATGTCTTTCAAAAGGTGCTCCAACTACAAATCTTAAAACCTCTCCTATAAGAGGGATAAAGTGTACTAATTGCTTCAGGGAATACAAAAATATATTAAGCAGAATCCTTGCCTTCAAGAAAATTCTCTGTCTCCCCTGCTAGAGCGTGAAGTCCAAGAAGGCACGGACTTTCTCAGTCTTGTTCATCACGACATCACCAGCACCTAGAACAGTACTTGGTGCACAGAAAGTGATTGAAATATTTGTCAGGAAGTGAATGAACCAATGGCCACAAAAACAAAGACAATATGCTTTGAGCAATAAGAGAATACGGCATATTTGACTGGGACCAGTCTAAGGCCAACAGAAACTAAAAGGATGACAAGATTAGGGCCAGAGAAGGCAGGAGAAATGATAATTAGGCCATCCTACAAGGAAGGATTTAGGAGGACAAGGAGAAGGGGAACAGGCCTGGCTAAGGCCACAGACAGGGCAGACTAGATGTGTCCAGAAAGTGCAGAGGCTCAGGTGGCCACAGGAGAGGGCCATGGGAGAAGGTGTGTGTTGGGGAAGCAGAGGAGCTAGATTGAATGAGGAGAGTGAAGGAAGTGAGGGCAGGCTGCAGAAGGTCTAGAAAAATCAGCAACAGGATTCCACCTGGTTGAGATTTACACCTTTAAAATCATTTTTCATACCCCCGGTTTAACCTTTAGAAGAAAATGAGCCTCTGAAAAGATATAAATCTTTTTTTTTTGTAGTTTTTAATTTTATTATATTATGTTAGTCACCATACAATATATCATTGGTTTTTGATGTAGTGATCCACGATCCATTGTTTTCACGTAACACCCAGTGCTCCATGCAGTATGTGCCCTCCTTAATACCCATCACCGGGCTAACCAATCCGAAAAGATATAAATCTTAAAAAGCAGTAGGGCAATGGGGCCAATAGCCAGTCCTGGGGGCCCACATAAAGGTGAAATTTGGGTTATAAAGAAGTCTTTAATATTATAATAAGTTCCATAGTTTACTAAAATTAATGGTTTATCAAAGAATAATAAAAGTCCCGGGCCTAAATTCACTAGCAATTTTCACACAAAGATAAACTCTTTTCTTAGGCAGAAACTTACTTTTAATATCACAGCAGGGTATATTTGATAGGTTTTTAAAAAAAAATTGTAACTGTTAACTAATATTAACCGGAGAATGACGCCATTCACTAATTCTGGAACACCTAGAAACATGTAGACATCAAAAGCTCCAAATGCTTCTTTATTAGACAGTCACAGGTTTGAAGACAGCTTCAGATAAACCTAACTATTGAGAAGCCGTAAATATCCTTGCTCTTTCAACCACTCTCTAGCTATATTTAGCAGCACGATTTCCTTTGTTCAAGAGCTACTCTCGATAACTCTGTATTTATGCTCCCCAAGACAGAATACCTTGGACCTGTTAGGTAAATGAATGGATAGCTGCATGGATGGACAAACAAATGAACCATCAAATGACTGTATTAAGATCTGTGAGACAAAATGGATATGATGCTTCGTCTATGTATGTCCTAGATCTTTCTTGGTCAGGGCTAAAGCTTCCAGGCCTCCACAAACATGTCTGTCACACAAAGCAACAACTGGGATAGGAGTGCCTGGGTGGCTCAGTTGTTAAGCATCTGCCTTCGGCTCAGGTCATGATCCTGGGGTCCTGGGATCGAGTGTCGCGTCGGGCTCCCTGCTCCACGGGAAGCCTGCTTCTCCCTCTCCCACTCCCCCTGCTTGTGTTCCCTCTCTCGCTGTCTCTGTCAAATAAATAAATAAAATCTTTAAAAAATAAAAAAAAAACAATAGATGGGGATTAAAATGGAACAGAGGGAGTAAGAAAGTTTTGTTCTTAAAGGAGGAGTGTTTTTCTAGGCAAGGGCTGTGATGAAGAGGGGAGCAGGGGTGGACTCCCTATGGAGCTGCTGAAGCTTACGTGTTCAGGTCCCTCACTTGCACAGATTCCTTCCAAGGCCCACCAGGAGCCCAAGTCAAATGCTTCCAAAGAATTTGCCCAAGTAAGGTATAATCAAATCCATTCTCCTCACGAGGGCCCTCAACATGTTTCAGGCCCCACGCAGCCTGGGTCCACCCTGGCTGAGAGGCAGGAGTGCAGGTTGTCGCTGAGCGAGCACCCTGTCACAGCCTCGGGAAAGGAAGCCTGGGGGCTGTTCACATTCCTGGGTGGTTTCTTGTTCCTTTTTAAAAGCCACCATTTCCTAAGCCCAGAGTTCTCAATACCATGATACTCGTTCTGCTGCTACATCGTAATGAAGTCACAGGAGACATTCAGCTGTTCCAAACTTCATGTCAAGCTTTGAAGTGCTTTTTAATAGCAGAAATATTTGGCTCACAGGTGGGCTTTGTAGCTATGGTAAATACCTCTCAGTTATCTGTCGCTACCGTTATTCCACACCTCCAATTTGGAGGAGAAATTCTGCATATGCATTGAGGCACTAAAAAAGAAGAGTGAACTATATCTTAGTTCTTTTGTGAACAGTTTCCTTTTATTTCTTCTTGCATGGAACTAATGTGCTCATCATATTGTACTGGTTATGGGTGGGAAAGCAGTGGAGAGAAGGGAAATGCTGATTATTACATCACTGGTTGGCAGTTCCTCTTAGCTTCTGGAAGGTTAAGTGGTCAAGTAGCTTCTTCTTATGAGATCAAGGCATTTCAAGGACTGCCTCATCCCCCAGTTTTCTGGCAAAGTGCTTTAGTAGACTTTGGACAAAATGCTTACAGTGGTTAAAAGAGAAAAAACTGACCACAATTAAATATGAGATAAAAGAAAAAATAAAACAAACCCCTCATCTTGTAGGTTCCTAAATGACTATTGACACACAAACTATATGTCCACGTACATACCAGAACAATATAGTTAGAGCATTTCTGAGAACAGATAGAGACAAAGGCCATTTTCGATACATCCTGTGTTGAATAATGACATTTTGCTTCTTTATGTAACTTAATTATTTTATGAAGAGATGACAGAAAATACTGTGCATTCCCTAAGTTAAACACCTGACATTTTTTATTCTTCAAAATGGAACATTTTCAAAATCTAGGTATGTTTATTAATTAGTGATTATTAACACCCAGTAAACAACATTATGTCTTGTAAAAACACAATCTCTCTTCACAGCATGATGCTGAATCTATTATTCCCTGATTCCATATGCTGAAATACACTCAAATGGTCACAAATGACCTTAAGCATTAAATAAATGTAAATGAGGACAACATAGAAAATGTGCTTTTGATTGATAACTAAAAGACCAGGTTGAAAATCACGTCCCAAAATGAAGTCCTCCCCAGAAGGGTATGGCAGTCCTCACTGTGGTGTAAAGGCCTCCCTAAGAATGAAGAGGACACAGGTAGCAGATGGTTCTTTTCTCCTGACCTGCCCGAGGCTTTCTGGGAAACGAAACTGGTTTGTTAATAAATGAGAAACACAGGGCATCCCACCCCCTGTGCCACCAGCTTATGCTGACATTCTACTGCAGGATTTTAAAACAACACATATATGGCCACTTCCTTACCTTCACTAGCTGACATCAGAGAAAAATAATTACTGCTATTCCATGGCCTCAGCCCAATAAGTTTACCACTGGAGGTTTTTTAAGTGTTGTTGCTGTTAATTCATCTTTTTTTTTTATCCCCAAACTGAGTAGTTGGGGTGGGAAATCATCTTCAACACAGAAAAAACTCAAAATATCAAAGGATGACAGATTAGCAGTAATAAATAAATAAAATAATCAGTTAAAAATCAGATTGTTCTTCTAATGTCTGGGGTTCAACATATAAATGAAAAATGCACAAATACAGATATTTCATGTGGAAAGTACGAAATGATTCCTCGCTCTTCTAGGTCCTATCATCAGGGCAAAAGAAAATGTAGCATCACCGAAAACACCATTGTTTTGGTTGAGGGTAAGCATTTGTCCAAGTTTGAATAAGAATGAACAGAATCTAAAAGGGAATGGATACTAGACTATTTCAAAACCATGAAGAGAGCAGGGTTTCTCAATCTTGGACTACTGACATTTTGGGCCAGATAGGTCTTTGTCGTGGGCACTGTCTTGTGCATTGCAGGAGGGTGGCCTCTGTCTACTAGATGCCACTAGCAATCCTCTCCCCCTGAGTCAGGACAATGAAAGAGAACCTGGGGGCAAGACTGCCCCCAGGTTGAGAACCAGAGGAATAGAGTCTTCATAAGGAGGTCCCAGGAAGGCTTATTTCAGCCTCAGACTGTATACTCTCAATCCTGAAATCATTCCCAACCCAGGGTTCAATATACTTCAGTTTTCCTCATTGACCAAAGATAATGAAAATGCCTGCCTGCCTCCTTATGGATTCTTCTGAACATTAAATAAGGTATTTTTAAAGTGCTTAGAACAGTGCCTGACCCACAGTAAGTGCTCAGTAAATATTAGCTATTATTATCCTTAATTATCATCCAGAAAACCAGAATGTTTTAATGCAGGAAGGTATCTTACCAGCTTGATATTTTCCCAGCTTTAAATGCACCAGCCTTCTGATTCCTTGTGATGATGTCTCTCACGTCTACAGGACACAGTTAAGAAAGCTTCTGCAGTGACTGTCAACTGACTCCAAAAAAAAAAAAAAAAGTCCACAAACACAGTGATCTTCTTACTGTACATGGGATCAGCTCAGTGAAAAGAGAAGAGTTGTAGGGTGTGAGGCAGGAGAAGAAGGGTCTAGACCTGGCTCTACCACCAAATGTTGAATTGCTTGCCATAGGCAAGCTCTTTTAATTCCCTGGGCTGCAGTTTTGTCACCTGCGTGCGAAATGTACATTCAGGGAGCATGCTGGCAAGGCTCAGGGTTATGGGCGCTGGTGGGGGTAGATGACTATCGTATAGCTGCTATGCCCTGCTTGCTTAAAAGAGCTACCAGCCCAAAGGCAAGCCTCTTTCAGTCAATGAGAAAAGGACCTGTACCAAGAAAAGCCATATTTCTGGAGGAAAGGTTTTGAAGAGCTGGTCCATTACATCACACAGTGCCATCTTGATGCAGGTCCGTGGGAAAAATCATATCAAGTTCCAACACTGGGCAAAGGTAGGTTTGAGATCAACCCCTTTTGCTTCAGCTTCTGGACACTAAATCTTACAACTGTTTTTGTTTCTCTTCTTGCTCTGGTCTCTTTGCAACCCATAGCCAAATGGATGACCTAACTCTATCAACCACCAGAGCTCTCCTGGCATATACTTCCTGTACTGACCTCTCATCCTGGCTTCATCGTATTGTCCTGGCTTTCTGATTCAAATTGGCCTCACTTTCTCATTTATTTTATATGGCATATCCTATGTGTCACTGTAAAAAGCTGCAAAGTTCCTCTTTCAGAATAAAGCAGGTTTAAATAAACAAGAAATATAATAATTCCAGTGAAGGCTGCAAGCTGAAATAAATTGGGCCCATGGGGAGGACACCAAGCAGATGAGCGATGTTCCCCTATTGCTCAGAAAAACAGATTTCCTGAATGCTCAGAACAAGCATTGGCCAAGGTCTCCCTGCAAGAACAGAGCCACAGGACTTTTTAACCCAAATCTCTGCTTGAAACATCAGGCACACCCATTTCTTCTCTGAGTGAATAAGCAGGTACTGTTATAGCTTTCTCCCCCCCAGGAGTGGGTAGGAAAAATCAATTAGGTCTCCTAATGAAGGGCTTTGTGGAGGTTTACAAAAGTGCTATAATGCAGACTTCTTTTTTTTCTGGGTGAACTTTCCTGTATGCAAATTAAATGCCGTTAAATTACATTCATTAAAAAAATAAAAGAGACTAATTTGCCTACTTGTTTTGATTAACTAAAATGACACATCGGCCTACAGTTCTGTCTATTTCAGGAAGAAAGTATTTCAGGAAAGTCTTCTAAATGAAATGTCTTGTAGAAAAGGACAGCTGACATCTTTATTCTGAGAAGAACAAAATTAGTGAAGAGTCAACTGACAACTGCTTTTTGGTTGAGCTCCGCCCCCCTCCGGCCACACCCTACTCCACGTTTCTATGACATCCAACCGCACGTGGCAATATGCCCGGTACACCTGTAGCGGCGTGTGAGTACATGACTAATCTATCAAGCAAAACATATTATTTTGTTAGTGGAGGTAATACTTTTTATAAAATAGTCACAGGGAAGTTAAATTATATAACTCTGAAAACCTGTTACTAATTTTTAGTAAACATCTTAACGCTATATGCTTTTATACAATTTATAAACCCATGACTCCAGGTAGTCAGGTTGAAGCAAGTGTATGTATTTATATTCTAGAGGTGCTTTTTTTTTTTAATGAAAAAATTCACAGCAGTATTTAGGCTGCTTTATTTTTAGAGCTGGGAAGGAAATATATTTTATGGTTTAGGAGGTGTTTTTATATTAAAACAAGCACAAAGAGAAAAAAGAAATGGCAAGAGCATATTAAAATAGCTTAAGAGATATATTCTGATATTCTGCTCCCCCACCCTTCACTTTAGGTCTGGCTGGCACTGTGTCTAATAATACATTTTGTCATTTTTCTGTGTCACCTTAGAGTGATAAAGGACATCCAATCAAATCAATACGTCCAGGATAGTGTTCAACAGGGTGGACCAAATCTGTTCCCTGTACTGTACCCATCTTCTGGAAGTCTGCAGTGGGAGGTGCTGGATGCAAAGAAAGCTTTAATGTGATTTCTGATTAACTGGATACTGAACAATCACCTCCAGTCTCCTTGTCTGGGCTACAGGATCAATGCCTGTGGCTAGAAGAAACCACGTTTCTACATCTAGGTTTTCTTCCACCAAAAAAGCATAGTTCAGGAGTGGGGCTCCCTTTTAATTTTAGTTCAGTTGAGTTTTATTCTTAAAATATATATTTTTTGCATAATAACAAGTTACTTAAACAAGTAACTTTAACTTTACGTATCTAAATATAATTAATTACATATAAAATACTATTTAAAATATTAGCCTCCTCCTACAATTAGTGATTGTTATATTTATCAGTAGTCGCATCTACATTTTGGGACTTGGCATTGTTCTTTAAGAAAAAAGTTATTTTTAAAATAATAACACTGTGATCCACAAAGCATTACTTTCTCAGCGTATGTTACCTTTATTTTCACTGGACCATCCAAGGTGAGGGTAGGAAACCATGAAATTATAATATAAATCATGTTCATTTTGATCTCTAAAGGATTTTTAAAATGCTGGATGTGGCAATATTTGCCAATTTAAAGGCTGCAAAATATTCTTAAATGTGCTTGTTATCAAAGGAATTGAGAGGATGAACTCTGTTAGCAATGTCAACTGTTATGTTTTTGGATGAGAGGCCTTTTCTTCCTGAGGGTCCTGAGGAAACTGTAAGATGAACCCTCACCAAACCATTCTAGGTTTTGGTGAAACAGAATGGTTTAATGGGGGGAAATAAAAAAGCTTTGAAGTCAAATGAACCTGGCTGGCTTCTAAGCTGATTCTGCTACTTAGTAGCTGTGTGAACTTGGGTAAATTAGCCTCTCTGAGCTCCATCTCAAAAACAGGAATAATGATCCCTATTTTATAGGCTTAATGGAGTACCACATAGGATGAGCCTGGCCATATAGGTGCCTAATTCATGCCAATTCATTATCTTTTTCAATAATTCGGGCAAAAGCTTCAGAGGGATGAAGAGGCTGGTGAGTAACTAAAAAGAGGTTTGGCAGTCAAGCTTTATTTTCTCTCCCTGCTGCTCAGAACTAATTATGTGAACATTTATATTGTAGAATTTAAATAACTGGAAGGAATCAAAGAACTTCTGCCCTGTGGATTTTCAGTGTCTTTCACATGTATAAATGTGCTCTGACCAAGGCATAGTCTGTGTCCCACAAGAACAGGGACTTGGTTCGTCTTGTCCACTGCTGTCTTTAGCGCCTGAAATGGCATGCAATTAACGGTGGTTGGATTAATTTTAATTAATTAGTTAGATTAACTTATTACTTAATTTAAATTGAATTTTCAAAGCTATTTATTGAGCTCCTACCCAATGTGAGGCACACGGAGTCCATTAATGACTCCATTAGCAAATAGAAGTGCAGCTGGTACAGATACTGGAGAAACACAGGATGATGGCCAAGCACTGCCAAGGTCTCCACCATCCACAGCACAGGCTGCACAGTCTAGAGGGAGCTTAATGTATTAGTTACTCAAGTCAGAGATGCTGTTAATAAATAAGGTAATGATAAGCCAGGGCTATCTCCTTAAAGATGCACAGGAGATTCACCAAGTTGGGATGAATCCTAAGCTCGAGATCATGATCCAGACTGTGCATGCCGTGGGAATAAGATGCTTGGATCAGGAGCACGAGAAATGGGTCACCAAGCACTGCCACAGTCTGCAGATAACATGCTTGATGCTTCCTAAGGATGGGTCAAGGCAGGGTGCTTAGTGAGTGTACCAGAGAGGGCTGCTCACCTCTAGGTGTTGTACTTTTATTCATCATGATTTGGAAGAGGCTCAGCATCAATAATAACTCAGTACACTGTTTCTTCCCTCTGTTCTAATGTCATTCTCATCAGCAGCTACGAACTTTAGTGAGTTATTATTATCTGTAGGCACTTGGAGATTTCTTCCTTTATTACACCAAAAGGGTTGTGCCAAAGAAAAGGGAACACATTTCAAACTACCTTCGGTGAAGTTGAGAACTGGATGAACCAAATGATGCCATTTCTAATTTATCCTTTGTTCTCTTTGGGTACAGATAAAATGGCATCTGTAAAGAGGGGCAGCTCTCAGGTAAGGGGGGCCCTGGGTTAGACCCAGCAATGCAGTTTTAGGACCAAGGAGAACCTCAGGGACATGTACCCATGAGTCTGAGAAAATATTTAGGACTTACATCATTCACTTACACCTCAAGTCTTAATCTCTTTTCAGATATCTCTGTTTAATAGATCTCAAATCAACATCTAGCTTTCCAGGGTCAAGGGAGGGAGCTCTGGAAGACATTGCCAATCCATCTGATACATCTTAGGGAAGATTATAAATAACCTCACAACTGGTTGATAGGCTTTTATGATATAAACATTCAGAACTCATCCATTCATTACCTTACATATTTAAAAAATAGAAACAATTGAAGATAAAAAGGAAGCATCAAAAATGCTATTTTTTTTAAAAAAGGTAAAAATCAGAACCTTAGAAGCTTAAGAGACTACGAAGTTAAGATTCAGTCGGATTCATTAAGTTCGGATGCGAAGAAAAACAAAAATAATTTTTAAAATGATGAAAATAATATACAGGCCAACACTCAGATGTGATGTGGGATTGCCAGGTCGATTTTCAATTACATTTCACTGATGTATTCATTTGTTTCTTAATGTGCTCATCTTGCCCATTAAGAATAATTAGCAGCTTTGCTTAGAGATTTTCTGGTTTCTGGCAATGTTTTCCCTTTTTTTTGTTGACATCCACTTTTACTTTTTAGAAAGTAATTTTTGGATAATATCCTACAACTGCTATATAATTTAGGCTTCCTAAAATTTTAAAGGAGAGATGTAAACAGTAATTTTTAAATGAATTTGTTTCAATCTATATGCATCAACAGTATGTGAGTCAGTGAATTAGTTATTCCTACAGAAAGTGGGCACACAAATACAAAAAAAAATTTCATTCATATTAACCTCACTCAGCACAACAGCTTTACAACGAATGCCAATTGTAAGCTCTGTTAGTAAATCAAGAATAACACAGTATTAAAAGCAGGAAAAACACATTGCCAATTTTTAAGGCTTTAGGCATGCTTTTTTTTCTCTTAATTAAAAAAAATTAGATCTAGTTACAAAAGAAAAAAGCCCACAAACATGGAACAACTACATGATAAAAACTGAACTCCATCAGGAAAGTCCTAAGAGATGAAATAAAACACACTGCCGGTTTTGGTCTGCATCCTGAAAGGACCTACTTTATCTACATTGTAAAGTTCTTCCCCTCCTGCCCTTTGGCACCCCGCTATATTAAACCCATTGTAAAACCCAGCACAATAAAGCACTCTCAGGGCTGAGCTTCTGAGGACCAAATGTTAAAAATCCATTTTCTTGGGAGGGGGCTGTACCAATCATTTCTTTGAAAGGCCAGCAGAGTGAATACAGAATCTGAGATTTCCTCTCTGATTTCAAGAGCTGGCATGGCATCTTTGCTGTTTAAAGCAAAGGTGTGCTAATTAATGACATTAGCATTGCTTCCCTTCTCTGGAAGCGCTGTACTTTAGCTCAATAATAATTTTAGTACAATTAAATTTACATACTGACTACCGATGTTCCTATAGTTTGATAAAAGTTGTAATTTGTTTCTGCCTCTATTAAATGAGACACCTGCTGACTTGAGAAAAACCTCAGGTTGTGGGCCCAGTCTGAAAGTTTCTGTGGCTAAAATGGCCCTCTCCTGTCCAATAATCCTCCTTCCTTCCTTCCTTTGCCCCCCCTCAAAAAAACCCCATCCACTGGGGCTGAGCCAGCATACCTGCCTTCCTCTCACTCTCTATGCTCCCTGACATGCGGAGGAGGAACACAGTGAAATGATACAGTGCAAGGCATAACTCAGAATAAAGCAGAGTGAATGAAACAACATCGGCTCATCTTCGGGAATATTTTGAGAAATTTGCGACAGTCTGAAGATCATTAAAATCCTGCATCTTAAAAAAGGAAGCACCTTTTGTGATCTCTTTCCCTTGTGTGAAAGGCCAGGATTGTGATTGGCTGTTTTTCCTTCCTGAATTTTTTTTTTTTTTAAAGTCTGTCAGGCAATTAGCTGGGTGGGGCTCTGTAGAGCATACAAGCGCTGCTGAACAATATTAGCTACTGTGCTTCTTGTACCTTCTTTCTCCTATTTGAGCAGCCTGATAGAGCTGCTGCAAATTTTATTTTTTAAAAGATCATACAGCAAAGGTAGAAAAAGAAAATCGAAAATGGGCTTTCTGTAAGAAGCCGCAAAAGTTGAAACTGCTGTGGCATTTTAGGGGGCTAAGATGCAAATAAGTGGATTGCCTACTTCATAATGTAAATGTAAGGCATACCAAAAATCCAAAGCAAATATATCTTCCACTTCTCCTCTCAATTTCTAACGGCTGTTAACCGCGCCTGAACAAATCAGCTCGATTGCTAAAGTAGCCACAAATTATGCTTGCTTTCTCAGTTAAAGTACAGTTCAATTTTCATGAACTCTGTGTACATATTAGTAAAGCATAATCTAATATAATGAGCTTGGAACTGTAATAGCATAGCAGAAAAAAAAAAGAGTGCTTTTATAATCCTAAATAAAAGGAAATAATGAAAAACTGATAGCTGTTTCCAATGGGGAGCTATAGGTAACCTCTCGGCAATTAGAGAAGTCCCATCCTACCTAGCACATACCCACAAGATCAAACCCAAGGAAGGTCATAATGAACATGAAGCTGGAAGTTAGTTTTTATAAGCAATAGTGGATATAATAAATATTCAATCATTTACTTTATACCAGGAAATTTCAGTGACAATAAAAGGACAAGAATGCCTGGAAATTATTCTGAAACAAATGTTTTTACTGCCTTGAGTGGTCCACAAATCATGGGCTCCTTTCACAAGAAGTGACTGTAAAAAAAATCTATCGAAATGAAAGAAAAAAACAGTCGTCGCCAATGAATTCCATATATTTCTACTTTTTCTTAATTACTTATCATGTGTGTGGGGGGGATTCTTTTTTAATACCCCATGCTGTCTTTCTTTATATCAATTGTTACTCAGCCGGGAAAAAGGAATGAGCACAACAAACCCGTTTTCTATCTGAATAAGGATACTTCTGATGGCCTTTTCATTCCCATCAGTTAACAGAACTTCTTTGACATCTGCAGAAATAGCAACCTGAAAAAAAAAAAAGGAGCACAGCAAACAATGAGCAAATATGCTTGTCTGTGTGGAAGTGAAGACAGGAGTGACAAGCCTTCAGTATCATGCTTCCTCACCTATTTCTCTGTAACAATCTTCAATCTTTTTTCATTTTATGTCTGCATTATTTTAATCATTCAATCAAATCAGTCAATACTTTTATCATTCCATTTGCGGGAGCCTCTATCTTGCTATCATTCTGTTCGGTAATTGCATTGTGACAGCGGATGATGGTATTCTGAGAGGCTTTCATTTGTGGGCTTCTGTTTATCTAGTAGAGCCATCATACAAGGCTGTCACTCTGCCTTTCAGCTTGCTTCTGTCTGACTGCCTGATGCCCTTCATATAACTTTGCATTGCAGGCAGATGGCTTTGTGAGGGTAATTTTTTTGTGAGCTTTGACATGCTCGCACATTGGGCTGTAACCTCGACACATTGTGTAAGAGCGACAGGTTTGTCAAATGCCAATCAGTGTAACAATATGCTTTTATTTGTAGAGACATAAAAACTTGTCTAATGCACTGTGCTGCTACATAATATCTCCTGAATACATGACTCAGAACCCAGAGAATGGGGGACGACGTTCCTGAATGGCCAATCTAATTCAAAAGAATCTAATTACTGAGCGCTCTGGATCATGTTTGTTGGTGTAATAATGCAGGCAAAACATTAGCAGCTATATCATGGTGCTCCAACTGTGATTCGCCAGGCTATTCCTGTATCTTAGCAAATGGGACTATAATCTGAAAAAAAAAAAAAAAAAAAAAAAAGCTTTCGCTATGGCAAAGAAAGACCGCGCGAGGCCTGGAATGTCACAACAAGCGATATTGACTACACGGAGGTAAAATGTTTCTGCTCATCGAGGCAACCATAAAATCAATATGATCCGAAAGTAAGTCAATCTAGAAGGTCTCTCAAGACCCGGCAGCTTGACCGCAGCTGATGCTGTTGACGGTTCTCTGACCCAGCAGTTGGAGGCCCTGGAACATTTTTCCTTTTGTTCCTCCCTCTGAATGGGATTGGAATTGAGAAAAGACCTACCATGAGCCCAGCCAAGCATGTCATGCCACCCCCTAGCTCACACACAGCAAGGTCCCTGAAAGAGAGAAAAGAAATGGTAGAACCCATACAAATTAGATGAAAATGGTCAGAGAGCTATATATGTTACAAGAACAAATTGCCATCTGCAGTAAGAACGGCGCTACCAGGAAGTTGTAGAGACAGGACTAGGCTACCTCATGTTGCTTTGCGTTTTAAAAATAATTATGAAATAGAAAAGTCACAAAGCAGGCAAATCAGTGGGGGTTCCCTCATTAGTGTTCACTGCAACATTACCACCGCTGAGCTGAAAAATCTGAGAAGGTTCCCTTTTTTTCCCTTGTCAATGGCGCTGTCTTTTAGAACTAAACTAGCTAGAGTAGCGAAAGATAATTGTTAGGAAAGGGTAACACTGTTAATCCACATTCATTCCTTCAAAAACAGTTAGACAAGTAAATGAAGAACATATATGAGTGTGTATATACCTATATTATAGTCACATACACACAACACACACACACACACACACAAATAAATGCAATCTTGAATTTTGTGGAAAAAAAAAATTGAAACCAAACTGAAACATTTTGGAAAGCTGAACTGCCCCCATAAAGAACAATTACACAAAGAGCATTTAGCAATTAACACTTAAATCACAATTGACCCCAACACAACACAGTGAATAAACAATGCAGGGACATAATATGGTTAAGCCAGCAAACCGAGGCTAAAGTAATGACTGGGCTCTGACTTCACCGCTCAAAAGTAAAGCGGCTCAGAGTTAAAGCTGACAGCCTAGTGTGGCACTCCGCACTCACCTTCCCCTTTGTGCCTAAATATCAGCCCTCAACGTGTGACATTCTTACCCTAGCCCACTGCTCGATGATTGGAGCTCCAGTCAAGCTTAAGCACAGGGAGAAGAGCAAATGCCAGGCTCCCAGAGCAGCTCTGCAGCCCAAATTCAATACTGCCCTGTGCTCATTTTATATGCTTAAACCCTTAAGAGTGTTCCTTCTTCCCAGGTTGGGAAGTTTATCACCTCAACAGGAGAAAAGAAAAAGAGAGAAGGAGAGAACTGAAAGGGAAGGAGGGGTGCAAAGAGAGGGAAGAGACGGAGAAGCCAAGAAAGAACATTCATATTCCAAAATACACTTAATGAGTATTTAGTTGTTCAAAGCAATTATAGACTGGTTGGTAAATATGGACCCACAGAGCTTCAAAAAATACATATTATTGACCCAATCTTGTAAGTACATATTGTTAAAACACACACACCACGATCACTAATGACTTGTCTGGAATCATAATGGGCTATTCAGGAAGCATATGTTGGGTGACTTTTATAAAATGAGAATTAAAAATGAAAAACCTGTATTTTCTGGATCTACCAAACATCTTTAGAATTTTAAATAAAAGGAAGGGGTTTTTTTCTTTATTTCCTTTATTTCCATAGCATGAATCTGTAATAGTGATTTATATTTTACAAATACATATTGTTAGGTCTATAAAATACCTTTAAAACCAGGGGTGGGGTGGCATCTTTAAATAATAGCTGTGGGGTATTTATTTATCAAATATTCTGTAGTGATTTCCCTAGCAGAAGTTTAAAGAATGTCTTTATTGTGGTTTTTTTCTTTTTTTTTTGACCCTCACAATCAGTAAGGATTGATTGGAGCTTCACTTTTGTTTCCCCAAAATCAAAGTGAAATAAAATGCCTTGAGTGGAAATCAAAAGCCTTTGACATATAGCAAAAAGCTTGCTGTGCCATATTAGTACCCAAAGGCAATTCAGATTTCTTTTCAGAAGCAACATGTTTTCACCATGAACTTTTTTCCTTCTTTTCTTCTTTCTTTCCTCCCTCTCTCCCTCCCTTCCTTTTCTTTCTTTCTTATATTTTTTTAAACAACTTAATTTGAAGAATGTCATCACAGCAATCTTTAACATGCAGATACAATACCCATAATGGCTAAAAAATATCTTTTCAAGTGCAGCTTTGTACCTGAATGCATTACTGTGCTTGAGGCAGTAGTAAGCCAAAACCTCTTCAGATGGCCAGATGCCTGGAAAACACAAGAGGATACACTTTTTGATTATAGGAGTCTGTTCTACAATCATTCTCTGTAGTCATTCTCTTAAGAAATGGCTTTTATTTTATTTTATTTTATTTTTAAGATTTTATTTATTAAGAAATGGCTTTTAAAAATAATGTTCAGTACAAGCTGTTTCAACTTGAATCAAACTTAACATAATTATTACTTGTAATATGTCATATCAAATGAGTCTCTTTTGTTGTTGATGATAGCTCTTTTCCCAGAAAAACAGTAAAATATCCCAAATAAATTTTCCTAAATTTCTATTACAAGACAGCAAAAACAGTAACAACCAAAATTACAAATACTAAAAGTTCAATTTTAATGGTATTTCAGGTAGCTGATCTTGTACACATGAACCTTCTTTTCAGCCAATTCATAAGCATCAGTTGAAGACCTAATGTATACGCAGCCCATGTGAGGCAAAAATAAATGGAAAAACACTTGCAAGGAGCAAAGAAAACCACCCAGGTCATTATACCTTTCTCTTTGATTTCATCCTAATGTTTTCAAATACACACAATTATTTTCTTTTTTCGATCAGAAATATCAAACTGGAGATTAAAATTAAGAAATTTAAATTTCACCAACTTTGGCACATCTTTAAATTTAACCATAATCCTCCCCAGTAAACTCCATGGATGGGCATTTTCTAAAATCATCACTTGTAAATCATTTCTTTTGAAGACTCAGTCTTCATGAATGAATAGGAATGCCTTAAAAAAAAAAAAAAGACAAACATGCTTGGAAATGATAGTCTCTAGCAGTTATCACAAGGTGGTAGGTTGTAAGTGCTTTTGATTTTTTCTTTACACTTTTTGTATTTTCCAAAGATTTTTACAATGAATATGTATCACTCCTATGATCGGAATAAACCACAGCCTTAGACAAAACTGGGTTTTCGCCAAGGGGTCAGACTCAAAGGTCAAGCAGGGCACTAGCATCCTGCTCCACCTGAGGTTGAGAAGGCCCCACCGTCCTGGGAAAGAGCAATGAATGTTCACTGCCTTCGCACTAAACTCTCTTCTAATGGGTCTGGATGCGAAGTTGAAACACCTAATGAGACTTAATTTTTTTTTCTCCTAGACGCATCTCCAGCTTCAAAGAGTGAGAAATCCAAACATTTCAGAGAAGAGGATGTCAAAGAAATGGTAAGTAAAATCCTAATGGAATCAGTGGGTAAATAGATGAACAGCAAAGACATTGACCCAGAGAAGCATTTGCAGCAGGAAAGTCTGGACAAGTGTAAACTAGTTCAGCCTCCATGGTATTTCTGGTAGAAATGACAGTTTGGGAGAGAACAAAGTAAACCAGCAAGAAGTATTTGGAGTCATATTTAGTAAGAAAGTCAGAAAGGCAGTGGACTGTAGCAATTAAGATCACAGGAGCTTTGGAACCAGACTCTTTGGGCTCCAGTCCCAGCTTGTTGGGCTGCATTCCCTGGCTGAGTGACCTTGGATAGTTTACCTAACCTCTCTGTGCCTCAGGTTCCTCATCTGTAAAATAATGTAATTGTAGTATCAACTTCACAGAATGGTTGTGAGGATTAAATAAGTAAAATACATGAAATCTATTTAGAACAATAGTTCCTAACTCATAATGAGCTCAAAGAAAAATTAGTTGTTAATGTTATTCTCCTGCAAAAGGGGATAAAAGGGTAGAAGAGAGAATATACAGACCCCGACAATTATCCCAAAGATGAGAACAGATGGAGAACCTTTTTGTCCTACTCCCACCCATGAACTTTACCACAACCCTGAAGTCCTAATACCTGGCATACCTCCATAGCAAAAGAACTCTGTAAAGAATAAAGTATATAATAAAAGTCTCTGAAGGAAGAGCCCAAGACAGTGTTCTACACCAAGTATATAAAATCACCAGAATAATGAATTTCTTTATGCCTTTAGTAGATGGTTTTGAGGTTTAAAAAAATAATGATGGGGGAGGGTATTTAACTAAAATTCAAGCTTTGATTAAGTACAAAAATGTGACTTCTAAAATGCATAGTCTTTTAAGAGAGTTTTATAATTTTCTCAAAAAATTATAGAGGTTGATTTTTAACTAAATTAAATACAAAAATATGTAGAACAAAGTTAATAAAATCACCTTAAATTACACCACTAGTATATAACCCCTAGTAACATTTTGGACATCATTCCAAAAAAAAAAGCTCTCTAAGCACAAAGATATTTTATACAAATGGGATCTTATCATGCAGGTATTTGACAATCTGATTTTGTCCCACTCAATATGTGATGAATAACTTCCCATGACAATAAAAATATACTTGCATCATTATATATATATGTGTATATATATATATATATATTTTTTTTTTTTTTTTTTTTTTTTTTAAGTAGCCTCCACACCCAGCATGGAGCCCAAGATGGGGCCCGAACTCATGACCATGAGATCAAGACCTGAGCTGAGATCAAGAGTCGGACGCTTAACCAACTAAGCCACCCAGGCGCCCCCTTGCATTATTATTTTTAATGACTGCCTGATTTTATGTCTGCATCATAATTTATTTAACCAGTGTCTTCTTGAGAGACATTCAAGTTATTTTGGTACTATGAGATTATAAACAGTGGTGCCATGAAGACACATTTTTTTTCCCCAAAATATGATTTTTCTCTATAGGTCAAATACTCAGAAATGGGAAATCTGATCAAATGTTAAGTACCTATCACACTGTGATATATCAAACTGTACTCCAAAACATGTGTACCAAACTATACCTCCAAATAAGAGTGTTTATTTCCTCAAAGTCTTGTCAAGATGAGGTTTTGACAACCTATTTTATTTTTGCTAATCTATCATGTTTTTGAAAGTTATCTCAGTGCAAATCAACACCACAATGAGATACCACTTCACACCTTCTAGGATGGCTATAACCAAAAAGTCAGACAATAGCAAATGTTGGCGAGGATGAGGAGAAATTATGTAAAATGGTGCAGCCGCTTTGGGAAACAGTCTAGCAGCTCACCAAAAACTTAAATGTAGAATTAACATATGGCCCAATAATTCCACTCCTAGGAACATACCCAAGAGAAAAGAAAATATGTCCACACAAAAACTTGTACATGAATGTTCATAGCAGCATTATTCATAATAGCCAAAAAGCAGAAACAACCCAAATGTCCATCAACTAATGAGCAGATAAATAAAATGTGGCATGGCCATGCAATGCACTATTATTTGGCAATAAAAAGAAATAAAGTACTGATTCATGCTACAACATAGATGGAGCATGAAAACATTATGCTGAGTGAAAGAAGCCCAACACAAAGAACCACATGTCGCATGTTTCCACTTATATGAAATGCCCAGAATAAACAAATTCATAGAGACAGAATATATAGTGGTGGTTGTCTAGGGCTACGATGGTTGAGAGTAAACGTGGAATGACATTCCAGAGGTGATGAAATACACTAAAATGGTGGTAATGGTTGCACAACTCTGTGAATATACTAAAAATCACTGGGTGAATCATGTAGTATGTGAATTACATCTTAATAATGCCATTATTTAAAAATGTTTTCTCGGGTGCCTGGGTGGCTCAGTTGGTTAAGCGACTGCCTTCAGCTCAGGTCATGATCCTGGAGTCCCAGGATCGAGTCCCGCATCGGGCTCCCTGCTCAGCGGGGAGTCTGCTTCTCCCTCTGATCCTCTCCCCTCTCATGCTGTCTTTCATTCTCTCTCTCAAATAAATAAATAAAATTAAAAAAAAAAAAGAAAATCCTTTAAAAAAAAAAGTTTTCTCATTTCTATTTGTGGAAATATAATGGTCTTTTTAAAAAGGATTTTATTTGTAAAGAACTTATACAGAGTTTAAAGAGGCACTGAGTTCTGTGAGAATGATTAAGACAAATGATTATGATTAAGATTAGTACCCAGCCCCTCTGACCCAGTCTTTCTCCTTTCTCAGAAACTGCTACTTCCAATTCTTTTAGTTGATGCATCTGGTAATTACTTCCATATTGCTACATATGTTTGTATTGTCACTTCTTGATTTTTCAGTTTTAGGCACAATCTATTGACCCCCACTATGGAAGATAAGCTGCTTTCACCTTCATCTATACTCCTCTCCCCATGCCACACACACCATGCTCCTTATCCACCCACCATCACCATCTTCCAATTATAGATATATTATAATTTTGGTAATATAAGTCATTGTCAATTTCATTATGACCAGGAAATAATACCGAGCCATGTAGTAAACTATGATTGCTTTTTATCTCATGTATAATCCGCCCCCCCATGGAGTTTATAATTGTCTATTTTTTTTCTCATTTGCTAAGGTTTTTTATTCAATCTCAAAATCCAGTTGTCAAATTTCCCCTCTCAGTACATTCATTCACATCAGGTATTCTATCAACCTCATGAGGAATTCTTTCCTGGTGCCTTCTGACCTGCTTTAGCCTGGACTGAATGCCCTCTATGCTTAGTGCAAAGCTGATACCCTAGAATCAATCTTCGTATCATTCCAGACTCCCTTTTGTTCTTCTCCTGTATTGCATCTCTTGTTTCTTCTATCCCTTGTCTCCCTTTCTTGGTTTACTTCCTCATTTTGGTGCAAGACATCCTCCAGTAGCTTCTTGAGAAAAAGTGTGTGGAAGGTAAATAAATGGGAACTTCCATGATTCAGTGGGTAATTTCAATCTGGAAACTCCATGTTCTTCAGATCTTGGACAGTTTCTTGGGAAGTTCCATTGCTTATTTCCTGTCCTCTTTATCTAGAACTCCTGTTATTTGGATGTTGAATCTCCTGAACTCATCCTCTTTCTTACCTTTTCTTTCCTGCTTTCTATCTCTTACTGTTTTCTACTTTCTTGGAAATTTCCTCAACTTTATCTTCCAACCCTTTTGTTGTAATTCTCATTTATGCTATTTTTTAAAAGATTTATTTACTTATTTGAGAGAGAGCACAAATGGGTGGAAGAAGGGGCATAGAGAGAGAGGGAGAA